TGGGATGAAGATAGGAATTCTGGCAATAATGGCTAAAGAAAAAATTATGTAACACTACAGAAGGCACTAAAAGAAAATAATTTTCTTAACAATTTACATTATCTTTAAGAGAATTATTAAATATAATGAAAAGGAAAGGTGAAAGTAAACAAACAGATCTGTTAACCTTCTTTTTTGTTTACATATTAAAACAATCCTCAACAGTTGTTTACCCAATTTAAATTAAACCATATAAATCACATGAAAAAAAATATTTGGATCCATTTTATCATGAGCGCTCATCATATATGATATATGGACATACGTACATTCAAACATATAACACAAAACACAAGTGTGCACACATAATATAATACATACAACACATAACATTATAGTAAAGGCCTTATAACTTTTTACAGGTGAAATCTCCATTGCAATGCTTAAAAACTCTATAGTCAAAAAATAGAACTGATCAGCAAAACATTAACCTAGGTCTGTATGAGCTCAAAAAACAAAATAGAACTTCATGATATGGCAAAGGGCAATAATAAAATAGATATTGAAAAAAGCATCCTGGTTCCGTTGCAGATGTAAGAATAGCCAAACTGGAGTTTTGGATATCAGTTGTTATGGATTTGAGCCAAATCATCTTCTTTTTGGTCTGTAGAAATCGCTTTAGTTAATCTTTCTGGAATCCAAATCGGCTGCTGTTCTCCCTGTGGAAACACATAAACAGACCCCCGACTCCAGACAATCACTGGGTCAGGACCTTGGTTAATCTCTCTGGAATCCAAATCGGCTGCTGTTCTCCCTGTGGAAACACACAAACAGACCCCCGACTCCAGACAATTACTGGGTCAGGACCTTTCCATTGTCCTGTTAGAATATCCTTCCAAAGTACCTTGGGCTTATGTACATTTTTTGGACACATATGCCTTTCCGCAGCACTAAGTCCTGATGAATCCAAATTTAAAAAGTTTAGAGTAAAAAGGGTTATTTTAAGTTTATCTTTGGGGAATATATACCCCTTCCCAATTCCTTCTTTTTGCTTTAATAAGTACATTTTAATAGTTTGATGAGCTCTTTCAACTATGCCTTGTCCCTGTGGATTGTATGGGATTCCTGTTATATGAGTAATGCCAAATGTTGAGCAAAATTGTTTAAAAGAGGTAGAAGTATAACCAGGGGCATTATCTGTTTTTAACTGTTTTGGAACACCCACAGTGGCAAAATTTTGTAAGCAATGAGCTATAACATCTTTAGTTTTTTCTCCGGTATGAAGGGAGCCCATCAAAAATCCAGAAGAAGTATCAACTGTAACATGCAAATATTTTAATTTTCCAAATTCTGGCAAGTGTGTGACGTCCATCTGCCAAATATGGTTAGGTATCATTCCTCTAGGATTGACTCCAAGATTAACTTGTGGTAAAAAGGTCACACAATTTTGACATTATTTTATTATTTGTCTAGCTTGTTCCTTAGTTATTTTAAAACGCTTTTGTAAAGTATTAGCATTGACATGGAACTTTTTATGAAAATTTATAGCTTCTTCTAGTGTAGAGAAAATATGTATGTCATGTGTAGTTTTATCTGCTAAATCATTGCCCAAACTAAGGGCTCCAAGCAATCCTGTATGTGCCCTGATATGTCCTATAAAGAATGGATCTTTTCTGTCCCAGATTAGACTTTGTATAGTGGAAAGCAAAGAGAAAACAGTAGAAGAAGGGGAAATCCTACCAGCATCTTCAAGAGATACTATAGCATTAACTACATACTGACTATCAGAAAATAAATTAAATACAGAATCTTTAAACATCACAAAAGCTTGTAAAACTGCATTAAGCTCTACCTTTTGAGCTGATTGTTTTGGTACTAAAAATGTAAAAGTTTGATCAGGGGTAACTACTGCTGCTGTACCATTATTTGACCCATCAGTGAATATATTTGGAGCATTCATGATAGGTGTTTTTCTTGTCATTTTTGGAAAAATTACAGGATGCAATGACCAAAAAGACAATAAAGGATTAGATGGTAAGTGGTTATCAAATGAAACATTAGATTTGCACATGATTATTGCCCAAGTATTTAACTCATTAGCTAACTCATCAATTTGATTCATAGTATATGGAGTAATAATTTTATTGGGAGAAATTCCAAACACTCCCTTTGCTGCTTTTATTCCTTTGAGTATTAATTGTCCTACAGCCTCAGGATACCTAGTAAGAATAGTGTTAGGAGAATAAGATAAATGTATCCATAATAATGGACCTTCTTGCCAAAATACTCCTGTAGGAATATTTTTTGTTGGTAGTACAATAAACAATAAAGGCAAACTTATATCAATTCTATCCAAATGCATATTTTCCATATATGTTTCAATGATTTTTAATGCCTTTCTTGCTTCAGGCGTTAACATTCGGGGTGAATTTGGATCTGATGGACCTTTTAGGATATCAAATAAAGGTCCCAACTCTCCTGTTGGTATACCTAAATAAGGCCTTATCCAATTTATGTCTCCTAATAACTTTTGAAAGTCATTAAGTGATTTGAGTTGATCTACTCGTATTTGAATTTTTGGTGGACGGACCATGGTTGAGGATAATAGAACTCCTAAATAATTAATTGGAAAATTTAATTGTACTTTATCTATTGCTATCTCTAGATTATAATTTTTTAATAAGTTTGTAAGTGTGGCATAACATTCTAGCAATGTGTTTTTATCTTTGTGTGCTAATAATACATCATCCATACAGTGAAATATTTGTAGTTCAGGATTTTGATTTCTAAGTGGCTGGATTACTTTGTTAACATAAATTTGACACATAGTTGGGCTGTTAGCCATCCCTTGAGGGAGTACTTTCCATTCATATCTCTGATCAGGACCTTCATGATTCAGTGCAGGGATAGTAAATGCAAAACGTGGACTATCCTCAGGATGAATTGGAATTGAAAAAAAACAATCTTTAATATCTATAACTAAAACATACCAGGTTTTTGGCAAAGCAGACAACTGAGGAATCCCTGATTGAGCAGGTCCCATAATAACCATCTCATTATTAATGGCTCTTAAATCTTGCAATAATCTCCATTTACCAGATTTCTTTTTGATGACAAAAATGGGAGTATTATGGGGAGATACAGAAGGTTGTATATGTCCTTCTGCTAATTGTTGTTTGACCAGGTCATGGGCTGCTTGTATCTTTTCTTTAGTCAGGGGCCACTGAGGAACCCATACTGGTCTTTCTGATTTCCAAGTAATTTTTATTGTCTCAGTGGCCCTTTCTGAAAATCCAACCCATGTCTGTCTGTTCCTTGATCTATTTGTATTGGTGCTGCTATACCTTGTTCTTGTTTTTCTAATCTTTTTCCTTTCCTAAAACCTTGTCTAGTCATAATAGTGGGTGCATTTTGGTTGATGTTATTTGTTAATGTCAAACCTAATTGATCTAGGACATCTCGTCCCCATAAATTTACGGGAAGATGATCCAATACATATGGCTGTATAGTTCCTTCACATCCTTCAGGATCCTTCCAATCTAATACCATTGCACTTCTATGGGGATTAGTCGCCACTCCTAGGCCTCGAAGCGTTTGAGTGGCTTGTTGTAATGGCCAATGTTTTGGCCATTCTTGACGAGAGATGATGCTAAGGTCTGCACCTGTATCCAGTAGCCCATTAAATTCATGTCCTTGAATATTTAGTTTTAGCATGGGGCGAGAATCTAAATTTAAAGAAAGCATAGCCCAATCTACACCTGTGGAGCCTAATCCCTTGGAACCTCTTTCTACAGTACGACTGGAAAATTTATCATGTAGGCTGGGTATTATTAGTAACTGTGCTATTCTATCTCCTGGTGAAATTACTGATATACCCTTTGGAGAACTGGCTATAATTTTTATTTCACCTTCATAATCGGGATCAATTACCCCAGGACTTATCATAAGTCCTTTTAGAGTAGAAGAGCTGCGTCCCAATAATAAGCCTACTGTTCCTTTGGGAAGAGGTCCTTTCACCCCTGTGGGAATGATTTGAACTCCCATCTCTGGAGTTAGTACTGCTCTGGCGGAGGCGCAGATGTCCAACCCTGCGCTCCCTCTGGTTTGTCTGATGAGGGATCTGATGGACAATGTGTCCTGGGCACTACCCTGATGGGGTTGCTGGGTTCCTCCAGTGCTCCGTATATTTGTGGTTTGGGGCCCCGGAGCATTGGGCCCCCCTGTCCATTTTTTGGCAATGGAGCCCGATGCCTTTCTCCACGATATCGTGGATAAACACCTGGTCCTTGTTCGTTTTTTGATAATGGAGTACCCTCTATGGTGGTTTGAGAACGGCATTCATTAGCCCAATGTCTCCCTCTACGGCATCGTGGGCAAATACCTGGTATTCTACTCCTTTGATACCTAGTTTTGTTAAACCCTCCTCCAATGGGGCAATTCCTTTTAAAATGTCCTGTTTGTTCACAATTGTAGCATGTTCTTGGCCTGGCATCTAAAGCCTGTTTTACTGCAGCTGCCACAATTTGCCCTTGTTCATTAATGTCTCTGGCATCTAAAGCCTGTTTTACTGCAGCTGCCACGACTTGCTCTTGTTCATTAATGTCTCTACATAATTTAATATATGTGTTTAAATCTTCATGTTTCCATGGTCTAATGATATCTCTGCACCAACGATTCGCTTGCTCATAAGCCAGGTGTTTTAGTAATGGCATTGCTTGTTCTGTATTCCCAAAAACTCTGGTAGCTGTTTGAATAAGCCTATCTACAAATTCAGCATAAGGTTCATTAGCTCCTTGTATTACCTTAGATAATTGACCTTGTAAACCTCCATGTCCTTGTAAAGTCTTCCATGCCTTAATTGCATCTGCAGCAATTTGTGCGTATACGCCAGGATCATATGCAATTTGTTGCTGCTGATCCTCATAAGGTCCCTTTCCTAACAACATATCTAGATTTCTCTGAGGATAACCAGCTGCTGCATTTCGCCTAGCCGTCTCCTTGCAAAATTCCTCATTGGCAACCTTCCATAACAGGTATTGTCCTCCATTTAGCACAGCTTTACACATATTAGCCCAATCTGCTGGCGTCATGTTCAAGTTGTTAATGGATTCGACCAAGCTTACAGTGAAGGGTGCTTGAGGACCATAGGTTGTTACAGCCTCTTTTAGCTGCTTCACTGTTTTGAAATTTAAAACTTGGTAAAATCGCTGCCCTCCTGCCTCAAATACAGGGCATGTTAGTATTTGAGATCTTGTCTCAGGATCCCAACTATCAACTGCGGGGGTTGGGGGCCTCCCAGCATATGGAGGTGGCGCTGTTGGTTGGACACTTACGCCCTCTGGTGATAGAAAGGTGTTAGTAGCAGTCTCCTGTAGAGGTGGTGCTGTTGGCTGGACACTTACACCCTCTGGTGATAGAAAGGTGTTAGTAGCCCCCAGCAAACTTCCAGCTGCCAGCAGTCACACGCTTGTTCCTTTTTTAAATGCATGAATTATATATACTAATTTAAAAAACTAAAATATAAAAATATACAATCTTAAAAAAGTAATCTCAAACTCTCCTCTCCTCAAGGGGAGGCACAATTCCCAGCCAGGTGACCCAGGCCCAGGGTTGCAGGCTTTCGGTTCTTCGGAGGCTTTCGGAATTTGCTCTGAAGGAAAACCCTCGGCACACACAGGCCCTCCTTTTTATTCACCGTCTCTCGAAACACATACTCGTTCACCACTTCTTCATAACCTGTGTCCACAAAGAGCTGAGCCAGGAATTCTACAAGACAAAGAGGCCAACAGTGCTCAGTGTCCTGGTAATAGGAAGGAGGAAAATCTATGACCAGAGTGAAAAATAAAGACTCTTAATAAGAGTATCACTACTCTGAAGCACTCTACAGACATTACTGTTTTCTCAATTATTTATATTTATGTATTTTTGGTATCAGGGGTTGAATCCAGGAGTGCTTAACCACAAAACCACATCCCATCCCTTCCTGTTATGGTTTTTAGAGACAGGGCCTAGGTTGCTTTAAGGCTTCACTAAGTTGCTGAGGCTGACTTTGAACTTGTGATCCTCCTGCCTCAGTTTCCCAAGCCACTAGGATTACAGGAGTGTGCCACTGTGCTCGGCTTCTCAATTATTTTGAATTAATCAGATTTTAGTGACCAGAAGCATTAAAAGATATTAAAATATCTTCTGATATTTTTATGATATTATAGTTTTAGTGGTAATCACTCATTTTTAGTTTCATTTTAGTGTCTAAAAGAATATTTCCAGAAGTAAAAATATTTGTGAAAGTAGAGATTATGAATGTAATTATCTATGGCTCAGACAATTATGTAGTTTTTTTTTTTAATACTTATTTTTTAGGTGTAGATGGACACAACACAATGCCTTTATTTTTATGTGGTGCTGAGGATCAAACTCGGGTCCTGCCCATGCTAGGCGAGCGCTCTACCACTGAGCCACAATCCCAGCCCCAATTACGTAGATTTAAAACTAATGTTTGAAACACTTAAAAGATGGAAATAGAGAATTTTCTTATTCAAAATAATGTAAATATCTCTTTATAAAGCAAATTTGTATATTTAAAAACAGACCCAATTACATTTTTTTTTGGGGGGGGGGGATACTGGAGATTTACCCCAGGGGCAATTTACCACTGAGGAAATCCCCAGCCCTTTTTGAGACAAAGCCTCAACAAGTTGCTTAGGGCCTTACTAAGTTGCTGAGGCTGGCTTTGAACTTGGGATCCTCCTGCCTCAGCCTCCTGAGTAGCTGGGATTATAGTCCTGAGCCACCATGCCTGGCAGATCAAATTACTTTTACTAAAAAAAGGTTACTTGGGGCTGTGGTTGTGACTTAGTGGTAGAGCATTTGCCTAGCATGTGTGAGGCACTGGGTTTGGTTCTGAGCACTGCATATAAATAAATGAATAAAATAAAGGTCTATCCCAACATCTAAAAAAAAAAAAGGTTACTTGCCTTTATGATCTTGGAAAGTAATCTTAAGGCATTATATTTGCCTTAAACTGAATAAAATGAAGTTTCTGATTTGCCCTCCCTCCTTTTCCAGCACAGCTACCATAAGGAATCCACATGGCATGTCAGAGCCTGTCCGTTATCCCAGACTCACTAACTAGGCCCTGTCATCAAGAAGCTTTGTTTGTTGTCCCAGGTGCTGGGTAAGAGGTGTGCACTGAGATTGACCCAAGGACTTGTGCATGTGCTAAGTACAGTTATAAGCCCTCCCCACCCTTACTGCAGTGATAATGTAATCAAGCATATCAAATATAAAAAATAAAATATTTTAAGGATAGATTCCATTCATCTTACCATCAGTAAAAAAATATGATCGGGTTCCATCTTGTCTAACATAAAAGTTTTCTCCAAGTTTGCTTCCAGCTTTAAACCTAAGCATGGCATGATCATACAGTCCATAGTCACGGAACAAGACACTTTTGCCTGGTTTTAATACCTATGAAAGAAAAATGAGCTGTGAGTGAGTAACTCTGGGGACCCCAGCTAAACAAAGTAAAAAAATCTGATTAAGTTAGGAATTCAAAATAACTTACAGATTTGTGGCAATTAGAAAAGGGCATGCTAGTAAAAGGGATACGAAGACCTGGCAGAGCCTCCATAATATTGGAGATACTTCTTGAGCACCTCTAAAAGCACTCTGGAAAGTCCAGTGTCATACAATTAAAATGCAAAAGGCAATACCAAAGGATATTGTCCTCATTGAAGCACATTTATTGGCTACCTGGTAATACTCAATCATCAAAATCTCTTTTAAAAAATATGATGTCATTTTCGGCTTTTTCAGTAAAAAGTAAAATATGTCATATTTTTTAGGCTGGTTTTTCTCATTTAGAATCTCAGCTCTGGTTTCATAGCAGCTCACCTGCTATGCACATAACTGATACATGTCTGGCCCTTGACAGCTTGCCAGATGTTTCCTCATTAGATCTTCACCGAATTCTGAAATGAAGGAGCATGACTGTCATCCTCATGTGAGGTGAGGAAAACGACTCTTGAAAAAGTTAAGCCATCTGCCCCCCATCATCACTCACTAGCTACTAAGTAGGGGAGTCAGGACTCACACTTAGGTCAAAAGGTTTCATACTGTGGAACAGACACTTCTGTTAGTCCTGGGGGATGGGGGATGTGTCACTCTTCACACTAGACAAGAAGAGAGGTACAGAAAGGAAAGGTCAATTTTCATATTCTTCCTGTGCTATGCAGGACTTCTAGATATGGGAAGTAGATCATCAGGCTATAGTGCAACATCTCAAAGAAGACTAGTGTTAGGACCAGGTGGTGAGTCCCACACAAAAGTCCTTCAGAAGGTAGCTAATAAATAAAAAAAAAAAAAAAAGAGAGAGAGAATTATCAGGATAGTACCAATGTAGTTAAAAAAAAAAAAAAAGTCCTTCACAGACAAGATGTCAGAGTAGATGTCTCAAAAATCAGAAGGAAAGATCAGTAGGGTATGGGTACAGCTCACTTTACAAAGGAAATGGCTACCTGTTTTTCAGAATGAAAAGTAGTACACATCGGGGCACTTTTTTTTTTTTGACACTTGCTTTTTATGTGAAAATTCTTTCAAGTGGTTTAACACTACCAAATGAAAGGGAACTGGAAGCGGGTGTGTGTGCGCTGATTTTTATTAAATCTATTCTCACTCATCATACATCAACAAGATGGTTTGAAAGCATCTATTTTAAAATGAACATATATAACCTATTATAATAGATTTGCCTCCTTTGGAAAAGTGTGTGATGGGCTATCAAATTTTCTTTTTCTTTTTGGTGGGGCTGAGGATTAAACCCAGGCCTTTGTGCGTGTGAGGCAAGCAATCTACCAACTATGCTGTATCTGCAGCCCCCGTGGGGCTATCAAATTTTCTAAAACTAGTTAGATCTATTAGAAGAGGAAAGATTATCCATGACTGTTTGAGCAGATTTTCTCATTTAGTAAACTCTTATTGATAATAGCATGTCTTTTAAAAATGCTGTCAGTGAAGAAAGAGTCTCAGATAAAAACATTCTTACCTTGGTTAGAAATGCTATGTTTTAGAATGTAAATAATTAAGAAAGAAACACTCTTGAAAACATTTAGTTCACATGAGACTTATTCTTCATTTCAGAAGGAAGGGCTACATGGGACAGGGGAAATAACACTCACTCTGGAATTTGGAAATCTTGACTCAAATCTCAGTTCTTCCATTAACTAGTTGAATGCAAAGTAATTTCATCCCTCTGAATATATTTTCTCATCTGTAAAATAAATTATGATACTAATGCCTCTTTCGATCATGACACTGTAGTTAATCAGGCATTTCCCAATGTCAGTTGTTTTTTTTTTCATTCCAACAACTCCAAGGATGAGCAGATTAGGTCCTATTAAACCCACTTTTTGGTAAGGCTAGCTCAGAGTAAAGATGTCTTACTTGCCCGAACAACTCAAGGCAAGCCAATAATTTTAAGATTAAAGATCAGGTCTTCTGATAGCAAATCTAGCCCATCTTTCCTTTACTCTTCCAAAGATTTTTTTAAAAAATTTCCCCCTGGAGTTAATAACGTGGGAGTGATTAAATTTATGTTATAACAGCTTATTTCTGTGACTATTCATGTAAGGGTCTCAGAGCAGTTCATAGGGTGTTTTATCATCAGAGGCTGCAAATTGCTTCTCTCTCTAGAAATTTCCTGATGAAACATATGATTTCAAATTAATAAACCACTTAATAAGAAAGCAATCACTGCTGCTGTAAACTCATTCCAGATAGGATGGAGGAAAAAAAAAATCTATTGAAGAGTAAAAAATAGGAGGAATGCTGAGATGAAATTTGTTACTAAAAAAAATAATGGTCTGGGACAGTCTGAGTCCAGTTTTTCTTTTTCTTTTTAAAATTTTTGGAACTGGGGATTGACCCCAGGGGCACTTAACTACTGAGCCACATTCCTAGGCCTTTTTCAAATTTTAGAGACAGGGTCTTGTTGAATTGTTTAAGGCCTTGCTAAGTTTTTGAGGCTGGCTTTGAACTCAGGATCCTCCTGCCTCAGCCTACCAAGCCATTGGGATTTTAGGCATGTGCCACTGTACCCGGCTCAGTTTTTTTGTTTTTCTTTTTTAATATAATATTTCATACTACTAATACACACACACACACACACACACACACATGCTGTATGTTTCCATGAAAAGAAGCTCAGGAACTGATGAAACTGATCCATGAAGATGGAGGTTAGAAAACTGGTCACCTAGGGTCTCTGGGGGTGGGTGAGGGCACCGGGAAGCCTGCAGAGATGCTAGAACATTCTATATTTAGCTGGGGTTTACATGAGTATATGCATGTGGAAAAATCCCTCTAACTGGTCTGGAGTACTTATTACATGACTATTAAACCTCAGGAAAATATAAAACTATAGACAACATACATAATTTGTAAAATTATAAATGAACTTTCATCCAATTTAAGAATCAGACCATTATCAATACACCTGTAAGCTCCTCCTCTGCACCATTACCCTGCCTTTCTTAACACAGAAATTATGAATCTCAAGTCCACAGGCCCAAAAGGTTGAAGATTAGAGATCAGAGGACTGTGAATTTAAGTAGAAAACAAAGTTATATCTTTATTTTCACTGCTTCCAATGGAAAGTTAGTACTCCCTTAATTATGAATTCAGGCAACCAAAATTTTGACCAAAAAACCCCAAAATAGCCTGATGCCATTGCCCATGCCCGTAATCCTAGCCACTTGGGAGGCTGAGGCATAGGAGGATCCCAAGTTTAAGGCCAGCTTTGTCAATTTAGCAAGACCCTATTACAAAATAAAAAGGGCTAGGGATGTAGCTCAGTGGTAAGCCCTTGCGGAGCATGTCCAAGACTCTAGGTTCCATTGCTAGTACGACAACAAACAACCCCTGCAGAAACAATCCCTTGCATCATGGTGCAGTCCTTGCATATACTTAAATTTACATTCATCTTTACTGAAAAAATGTATGGTTTCACATTACTTGGTTCTTCAGAAGACTAAATTTGGCACTGCTACTTAGTTCATTTTGTACCTAAGAAGCTTTGCAAAACTGTTTGTTGCTTTTCCTTTTGAAGTACACAAACATCTAGAGTCCAAAAGGAGACTTTATAGTGAGGCTACTACATGAGTTGCAAGAGAGGAATAAGACAAAATGATAAAGAGGTGTCAAGCAAACTTGTATTTCAGTGTAAAATTTATCATACAGTTTTTGTAAGTATAAATAAGATGATTTGAGAACACTACCATATTGCGTTGATATGCACACACACACATATACATTCTTAAATTTATTTTAAAAAATATTTATTTTTTAATTGTAGTTGGACACAATACCTTTATTTATTTTTTTTTATGTGGTGCTGAGGATCAAAACCAGGGCCTCACACTTGCTAGGTGAACGTTCTACCACTGAGCCATAGGCCCAGCCCAACACATATACATTTTAAATAACAATGTCTAAACCTGTTAAAAGCAGGTTTCATGGCAAGCTCTAAACTGCTTTTTCATTCCTTGAGGAATATATTACATTTATCTGCACTGATGTTGAAAATTCTGTTAAAACCTTGTCAAGAATTTGTTTTGCATTAAACAAATTTATACAGAGTGTGCCCAAATAAATAAATAAATAAAAGTATGGTATTTACTAGATCACCACTGAAGAGCTTTCGAATTAATGTGTTAATTTAAAATCACAGCATTAACAAATATGATTGAAACTGTATTTTAATAAATTTCCCTTGTAACCTACTTTGACCTACTAAAACAGGCAGCTAACATTCTGAGGGGTTCATAGGTTTCACTAGATTACCAAGGGGGTTCATGGCACGAAAATGCCACGAACCCTTGCCCTAGAAATCCACCAGCCTGGATTTGCATTATTAATCTACTACTTTTCTTTCTTTTTCTCAATGGTGGAAAGAAAGGGGTGAGTGGAATGAGAGGATGCTCAAAAACACATCATACTGTAAGCAATGTGCTTTTTTACCCTTTTTTTTTCTTTCCAGACAGGTCTCACTATGTTTCCCTGGATGGTTTGGAACTCCCCATTCTCCTGCCTTAGCCTCCTACATAGCTGTGATTACAGTTGTGTGCCACCATGCCCAGACAACACCTTGCTTTTTGAAAATTAACCCATGTCATTCCTATAGCTGAGGTCATTGTCTTTCAGTGCTGTGTGGTGCTCCAACTGTCTGAACATACTACAATGTATGTCTCCTCCATTAGGTCAAATTGACTTCGAAACTGGTTACTGTATCAGAAAAGTACAAGGGGTTCTGCAGATGCATATTCTCATCAATACTTGGCTTTAACAAACTTCTAAATTTTGTTAATCCAGTGGTATCTCCTTATGATTTTATCTTACATTTCCTTGGTCACTGAGATCATCTTTTTATGTGTTAACTTACCGTTCTATGAAATGACTATGAGTATCTGCCC